TCTTTTAAAAAATAATCAACAGAACAATGGGTTCCTGCTTCAATTTATCTCAAGTTGCCAACTTGCTATGTGACTGTAACAGGCCAATGTTTCTCTCAACCCCCAATTCCCATACAGCAGTAGCAGTTTGGGTGTCAAGAAGAGTTTGCCTGACCAAAGGGTTAATGACAGAGGACAAACATGTTGTAAGCAGATGAAGAAGAGGAAGGAAAATGGGAAGGAAGAGCAATGGCTAAGCAGCCAAATGTTCACCCATGAAAATAAACAACTACGAATAACTGAATATTTCTCGTTTTGACAACCGTCCAGCAGCAGAAGTAACAGATGCCACCACGGTCCGACTACCTCCAGCTCGACTGAGTCAGACAAATGAGAGGAGGCCCGTGGGAGATGCTCCCTGGAGATGGACTTCTGCCAACTTGGTGGGGGGAATGTGGCTGGGCTGTGTTTATTTATTTACCTTTAGAAAATCACTTTGAAATGGAGCTTCAGTTACTTCCAGCCCCAGGCAGCTGGATGGGCAGCCAGCATCTCTCTGACATGGGGCGGGATGATGAAGGAAAATGCAATGGTTTAAGACGATGGGCACTTCAGCTACTAAAACAAATCTGTACCAATCTTTTTGGCCACTAAGGAATAGCTCATGATTTTATGTAACTATATATAATGCATTTATATATAATAACATAAGTATAAATATATATATTATATATATGTATTCTGTGTGTTAGTTGCTCAGTTGTGTCTGACTCTTCGAGACCCCATGGATTGTAGCCTACCAGGCTCCTCTGTCCATGGAATTCTCTAGGCAAGAATACTGGCATGGGTTGCCATTCCCTTCGCCAGGGGATCTTCCTGACCCAGGGATCAAACCTGGGCCTCTTGCACTTTAGGCAGATTCTTTGCCATCTGAGCCACCAGGGAAGCCACATATGTATTACATGTGTGCATATATTGTTGTTAAACTGCTCAGTCATGTTGGACTCTTCATGACCCCATGGATTGTAGGCTGCCAGGCTCCTCTGACCACAGGATTTCCCAAGCAAAAATACTGGAGTGGGTTGTCATTTCCTTATCCAGAGGATCTTCCTGACCTCAGGATAGAATCTGAGTCTCCTGCATTATAGGCAGATTCTTTACCACTGAGCCTATAGGGAAGCCCATGTGTATATATATACATTCACATATATGTATTGTGTGTGTGTGTGTGTACGATTTGACCAAATGAAAGAACTCAATTTATTCAGAAACAGAATAAGAAAGCAATCATTGTTTCCCTCAAGGAAACACTCAGATGCACATGAACTTGTGTTTCTATGATGGTTCTCGAATTCCCATTTGACAGAAGAATGCAATCAACAGGGCTTAGTAGCAAGAACAGAAGGATGAACGGATATATTTAAGATCTGGTTCCATGCCTTCCATCTATTTGCTGGGAAACCTGTGGTCAAGCCATCTAACCTTTTTCTGAATGTCATTTTCTCAGCTATTAAGTGCCAACTACTTCCTAAAACAGTGCTTCCTAAGGTGTTCTAGGTTTCAGGGTCTTCCCACTTTAAAGTAGGGTCCACAGACCAACTGGCAACATTGGCATGATCTGGGAACTTAGAAATGGCAGAATCTCAGACCTTGGACTGGACATACTGACTCCTCTTAACTGAATCGTCTACATTTTAATAGGAATTCGGCTGACTTGCATGCATGTTAAAAGTTTGAGAAGCCCTGTTCCTGAGTACGCTGTCCCAAGGTTATATAACCATAGACCCACTTAGATAACCTCATACAAACACAGCTTTCCTGGTCCGTTCTCAAGTCTGGGGTAGAAGCCAGGAATCTGCATAGTTAACTGATTCCCCAAGTGGGACCATTTCAAGGAAAATATGAGTGACATGAATAAAATAATAGTGTCAATATTTTTTCCCTTGAGAATCAGATGATCTCTAAGTGATAGCATGCCAGCAAGCTTCCTGGTGTTTTTATAGAGATAAGCTAACATGATCATGACAAGCCATCTCTCAGTTGAATGGCTCAGATGCCATGAAGGTTTTGCCCACTGCAGTTTTGAAACTACTAAATTTTTAATGGATCATTGGTTAGATGCAGGAAGCATAAGAAGCTATGATGTTGAACTACAATAATTTAATCAATCATACAAAAATGATCCTAATTTTGCAAAGTCCCCTCGAGACAACTGTCATCAGATTCATGAGATACATTCATATATCAGAATCTTCATTTAGCACATGAAGAGGCCTTTAGCACTTCAAAAATCAATCTTAAAAAGAAGAAATATAGTGACAATTATATCCAATTTGGCTTTTCATTTATTGGGAATAAAAACTATCCTCATGTGCAATGTGTTGTTTGCTGGGAAATGCTTGCAAATAGCATGCAGAAATTCCTTATTTCAACAAAACATGAAAGTTATTTAAAAAAAATAAGAACTGCCTTTTTTTTTTAACCCTTTGTAAGTAAATCAAAAGAATTCTAAGCAAGGTCCTAAAGGCAGTTTTTCCCTCCACTTTTGATACTATTAAATATAGTTAAGTTTCAATTTACATTTTAATGTACACTGGTTCCCAAGTCAAATGCAATATTTAATGATAAATCACATCTTGACTTGCATAAATAATTTTAAATAAATGAAAGAATCTGTCACTTGCTACATAGGAAGAGATTCAAAGTATGTTTAATTATGTTAAATGCATAACATGGGCTTTAAAGATTTTCTTTTTTACTTAAAAATCACATCTTTATTATAGTTATGTGTGCATATCCTGTACAAGAATGACCAAGTGATTTTTTAATCCCTAAAGAGATTTGCAAGATTATTATCAAAAAAGTATCTGCTGACTCTAAAAAGTAGGCAGTGAAAAGAAAAGTGTTTTCCATTTTTAAAACAATCTTTAATCCTATCCTACTTTTGAGAATTGGGTACTTAGGGCAGGCCTCAAATGGAGTTTTAGAGTCTACACAGCCATAACCCACAGAAAAATTACTAAGGCACTAGAAATGTAACTGAGTTCAATTAGTTTAAGTATTAACACACTTCCTGGCTAATGATGCTGGAGATACAAATATGTAGGACCAAATATGTCATATTAACTGATGATTGATAAGAGTTAACTCTGTGTGAGGTATGCTTTAGTTGTCAATACCTCTAACTCTTATAATAACCCTATGAAGTCAGCAGCCTTTTATCATAATATTAGATGCAGAGAGAAGAGTCAATTGGCGCCCATCGCAATGCTAAGCAGTGGACATAGTAACTGGAAACCAACAGGACTCCAGTATCTGAGTTCTCAGTCACCAGGATACACATTCCTGAAATGGGAAACTCTCGGAGCAAAGGCACATGTCCGAGAAGTGAGGGTGATGCACAGAAGGGCAATGTGTTTAGAAGGATGGAGTACAGTGTATACAATCAGAGGTTGCAGAAGTTAACAAAAGATGGGTGTGTCATTCTCTGCCAAATTTTCTAAGGAGGGGGAAACCTTTGGAGGTTTCCAGCAGGCACGTAATAGCCAGGAATGAATGAGTAAGCATGGAGGTGACAGAGTTTGGAGATGGACAGATTCATGAGATGCTATATATAGGATATCATACATGTGGGGCTCAAGAGGTAGTAGTAAAAAGAAGGGGACAGGCGATATGGAAGATGCGAAGGAAATGGGGGGAACTTGTGTTGAAGTCCCCTACGTGGTTTTGCTTCTCCCCTCTTTGAGCTCCAGAGGATAATCTGCTTCACCCTGACTAGGGTCAAACACCTTGGTGAGGCTGACCAAGGCTACGCTAGGAGCACAGAGGTGGACATCTTAAGGAAGAATAAAATCAAATATTCCCTGTCTCAGCTGACCAGTCATAAAGTTATTTGTGGGCTAGAATTAAATAACTACAGGTAGAGGGCAAACGTTTCCCACAGCTCTTACATAAAGCACAGCTTACAAGATGACCTCCACCTTGGCCTCCAAGGGCCCAGTCAACATGCAACCAAGAGCTTCCCCAAGTGTGAGGACAGTGAAGGTGATGGGCCTGTGCTGAGAGGGAGATTTCATTTCCCCAGAAACAGAAATGTCTCTGCAATGCACAGTTTATTCTTATTCTCAATCCCCAAACCATCCACATTTGCTACAAAGAACTCCTTGAGTCCTCAGATAAATGGCCCTTGTCCTGTATTCTTCACGGCACTCTCAAAAGCAGCATTCAAAAAGGTATTAATACAATAACAACAACAGTAACCATTTCTGGCCTCCTCTTTTGAGGGGCTGTGGGGTAGGCTTTTATACTCCTTGGCACAGGAGATTTCATGCAGACTCACTGGGGTGGAATGGATGAAGACATTTAAGGAAGAGAGAGGAAGTTTGTGTATGTCTAAACATGTTTGAGATGATAAAAACACTGATGCTAAACGTGATGAAGAAAACTTAGGCTCTTCTGAAAGGCAATCTTTCTTTTTTTTTTCCTCAAGAGCCTTTTTGTCAGTCCTGCTTGGGTCAAACAAATGCAGTTTTAAAATCCATTTCCATGTTTTAAGATTCAGAGGAAAGAGGTTTAACAGGAGGCTATAAAACTCCCTTAATCTTTAATGTCTTATTTTTGCAGATTTGCTGGCAAAGTAAACAGTCACTGCTCAACATTTCCCATCAATGCCCCCTGAACTGTGTCACTGGTGATGAAGAGCAGAATCCATTTGCGTGACTTTTTCTCTTTTCTTTTTTGGGGGGAAGACCATTTCTCCTGATATTGTGGAGGCACCTGCATTTTGACAACCTAGGCAGAACCTTAGCCCAGCTCACTGGCTGATTGTCTTCCAGAGGGAATTCTCAAACATTAAAAACACATTTTAAAAGAGGGGACTGATTCGAGGTGGAGAGAATTCTGATGGTTTCTTGCCGGCCCCTCATTTCCCTGCTATAGAAGCACCTGGCCTGTCCCGAGCCCCTCTATGAAAGGCTAGTCTGTATCCCTGTAGGACAGAGGGTCACCCTGAATATACTCACAGGCGATGCGCACGGAGGCCTTTCTGCTCTTGGAGGTCCCCAAGTGGCTCCATGCCACACACTGACACCAGTAGTCCTCGGGGCCGTGGAAGTCTTCCACCTGCTGCCTGCTGACGTTGATGAACACCTCCCGGACCTTCAATCCTGCAAAGGAGACAGAGCCAATCCACTGAGGCCGGCATATTCCTCGCCGAGAAAGTTAAGGCCAGCCCAACCTCTTCCTGTTAATTAAAACCACTCCGTTTTTAATCAAGGCGAGGTTTTAATTACTTTGACAATAATATATTACTGCTAATTAAATTCCAACAGCTGAGTTGGCTGAAAAGAACAAGTGTAAAATATTAACCAATGTGGTTCCCATACAATAGAATCGTTTTCACACTCCCTTGACACCATGCTTTCTTTTTTTTCCCAGCTTGTATAAACATTCTTTTTTTTGCTTAAAGAAATTTTTTTTATTAGTGTACAGTGGATTTACAGTGTTGTGTTAGTTTCAGGTGCAGAGCAAAGTGAATCAGTTATACATATACATACATCCACTCTTTTTTAGATTCTACTCCCACATAGGTCATTGCAGAGTATTGAATAGAGTTCCCTGTGCTATATAGGAGGATCTGACTAGTTATCTATTTTGTATACCGGAGTATGCATATATCAATCCCCATCTCCCAAGTTATTCTCCCCCTTCCACTCTGTCTTTCTTGATGTAAAATCTACCATGAAGAATGCAGCACCGAATTAACTGCTGGGATTCTAGAGACTAAAGAGGTCTCAACAAACCAACCCCAGGACACAGTTCCAGGTGGTTCTAAATGCCCCCACCTCTGGGTATGGCAGGAGAGGGTCACTGTAGCCATGTAGTTTAGAATGAGGAGGGGACAGAGGTGGTGCATGGTGAAGAGTCCAGGGCTCCAAGGAAAAGCCAAAAACTCCGGACAACACAAGGGGTGCAGACAAGCTGAACTAAGTTGACCTTAAATCCTGGATCTCTTCTTGAGAACCCAGGAAGAAAGGTTCTTGGTGCAACGGAATGAGGAAGTAGAGAAAAAGAGATGCTTTTATAGAAAGAGGGGTGAAGACTACATTTAGGAAATGGGATAAACTAAGACCTCGACCTTGTCATTTTTTCATTACTGTATCTTTGTATACTCCATCTAGTAGTCAAAAAGTTTGCCTGGTGCATCTTATTGGGGATTGTGAATTTCTTCCAAACCTCTATCCAAGGACTATCAGCCTTTCTTTTTGGGGAGAAGGACAGCCACTTTGTATGAAGTGCAGAGGGGAAAAGGACACCTTCTTCACTAGCATCAGGTAAACCATTACAAGCAGGGAGCAGCCTTTAGAGTCAGCATGCTCTCCGCAGCCGGCGGCATCTGCCAAGTCTGTGCTCTGCCCTGGTATAGGCGGCATGGGAGAAACAAAGCCTACTGAATCCCACCTAAGTGCCCAGCATCACTATAAGCCTTTCATCTGTTCCCTCTTTACGTTTCCTCTGCGCCCTGACACAGCTGAGGCTGCTGAAGCCTCACTTTGCAGACCAGAGAACGGACTTAAGAGTAATTTGTCTGCAATCACACAGTCTGGAAATGGAAGATCCAGCATTTGACCCAAACCAGGACTCTGCACGCGCCCCTCATCCAAATTCAACTCAGTCCTCGCATTTCAGGTACTTACCTTAATTATGGAAATAAGACTGATGCATGGTATATTTAAAGAAAATCTGGGTGCATAACTAGGCTTTTTCCTTTATTTTCAAAAGGAATTCAGGGGACAGAACAATAACACTCCAAAGGAGCCAAAAACTCTTGGTGGGCGAGGTGGAATTTGATTATACCCTGGGTGCTGGTAGGATTTAAAGAACAAGAATGGAGGTGTACTAGTCAGTCTGGGGAAACACTGCCTTCCACTCAACTGATGACATGTTATTTATAGTGTGTGATGAGAGCACTTTAGGGTCACATCAATCAGCATGTACACAATCTGAGTAAGACTTTCTGAGTTTTGGAGAGGTATCATGCATAGAAAAACATCTTGAGGACAGTTGATAATTCACATCTCTGCGCAGGGCGCAGAAGCACACCCTCTACCTTATCAGAGATCTAAGTCATGAAAGCCATCTTCTACATCGAACAGAAAAGAAGCCTTAGAGGGATTTTTATTGTTATTGTGTCGCTGCTTTTCTTTAATTTGCACTTAAATAAAAGAAGTGGGAATGAACAATCAGGGCAAGGAGAAGGCAGAGCTAGCAGGTGAAGAGAAGGAGAAAAGAAAGTAAGATTACAAAAGAGTTTGTGAGGATAGAAAGCATACTGGAGTGTGCCATTCATACTGGGGATTTGAAAGTTAGGCTGAATAAACATAAATAAAGAACTAGGCTACAGAGAAGAGGCGTTATATTTCCTGGGTTTGATTTGAGACAAATGGTGGATGATCTACTTTGAGCTCTGCAAGGAAAGAGAGACAACACCAAATCAGCGTGTCCAGGTGTGAGGTGGGTAATTGACATGCCCGAGTTCCCCTGTCATGGAATGAGGAGACTTAGAGACAAGACATTTGGCAATCAGCTCTCACTGAAGAAGCATTCAGTAAGTCAAAAATCTGTTCAGGCTAATAAGGAATTTATATACCCAGGTCTCCCGAATTGCAGGCAGATTCTTTACCAGCTGAGCCACAAGGGAAGCCCAAGAATACTGGAGTGGGTACACAGATACTCAGTACCCAGTACCCAGTGGGCATCCAGAAGCCTATCCCTTCTCCAGCAGATCTTTCTGACCCAGGAATCGAACTGGGGTCTCCTGCATTGCAGGTGGATTCTTTACCAACTGAGCTACCAGGGAAGCCCATTTATATATATGTATGTGTATACACACACACACATACACACACATATAGAGGGAAATACACACATACACAAATTATAAATCATCATTGTGAGTATGCGCTTAGTCATGTCTGACTCTTTGCAATACCATAGACTTTAGCCTGCTAGGCTTCTCTGTCCATGGGATTTCCCAGGCAAGAATACTGGAGTGAGTTGCCATTCTCCAGGGGATCTTTGCAACCCATGGATTAAACCTGTTCTCTTATGTCTCCTGGATTGGCAGGCGGATTCTTTACCATTGTGTCACCTGAAAAGCCCAAAGTTTTATATATATACACACACACACACACACAAATATATATTTGTGTATTACACACACACTTATTTTTACTTTCTCTGTCCTTCAAGAATATCTAAGCCCATCAGCTTCCTCTAGGCTGCAAATGAAGATAAACACCATCTCAAAATGGTTCAAGGTCATCATGTTTATGAAGCAGAGAATTCCCTATCCAAATCTTAAAACATGCTATGAGTTAACCTAGGCATTGTGGTGCTTAAAGGGTACCTGGGGCCTGTTTTAGTGAAACAGAGGAAAACACTCAGACACGGAGTAAGTTTACACTCACAGATCTCTAGAAACAGGAGGCACCTCGCCCAGGGCTACACGGGGAAGCACCAGGGTCTATCAGGAGGCAGAGGGGTCGGGAGACATGGGCAGGAGACTTTACTGCAGTTTCCTTGGGAAGAACTGGAGAGGCAAGGTAAAAAGATTTAGAGTGGACAAGTTTGCTTCATTTCAGTGGACTCTGGGAGAGAATGGCTGTTACTAATTGTCTGGCACCTGGCCCCAGGTCAGGGCAGGAGAGTAAGAGTTTAATAAAAGGAATATTTGGGGGTAAAGCTCTGCATCTGTTGGTTTGCTTATGAAGGACGTGCTCACAAGTGAATCATTTGCACCTCTAGGAATGAGCTATCCCTGGGTAAGACAGTCCCTTGAAAGTCAGCAAGACCCCGAGGTGTCAGAGAATCAAATACTAAACCTTGAAAAACATAGTTATTACACATGGACAGCCATACATTTGCTTTGGAAAGCACAGACAGTCGGCCACAGACCCCCACAGTGAAGGTCATAATTGATCTCACCCCATTCATGTCAGGAAGTCTTGCAACCTCTCATTCAGACTAACCACAGCTGAAAGGGGAAGGCTGAAGTCATGATTTCAGCATTACAATGCCTTGGTTTCAAGTCCTTCAAAGAGGCTCCCTGTGGGTTTGGAGAAGTGGAATGAGTATCAACCAACTATTTCCAAACACAGTGTGCTTTGGAAGGTAGCATTGGGGGTGTCAGGATTCTTTAAAAAGCTATAAGTAACTTTGCAATCTACACACCACCTCCTCGCCCCCCAAAATAGTATAACATCTCTCTGGCTTAGGCTTTTTTTATCCTAACATGAGGTCTTTAGCCTTGTGAAAGCATCCCCTCTAGGAAAACTAAAAATAAAACTACCATATGACTCAGCAATCCTATCTGCACAGGTGGGGATATACCCTGAGGAAACTATAATTCAAAAGGACACATGTACTCCCCAGCGTTCAAATGCAGGACTGTTTATAAGAGTTAGGACATGCAAACAACCTAAATGTCGGATGATGGATGAATGGATAAAGATGTGGGACATGTATACAATGGAATATTACTCAGCCAGTAAAAGGAATGAAAGAGAGTTATTTGTACAGACATGGATGGACCCAGAGTCTGTCCTATAGAGTGAAGTAAGTCAGAAAGAGAAAAACAAATGCTGTATATTAATGCATATATATGAAACCTAGAAAAAATGGTACCAAGGAACCTAATTCCAAAGCAGGAATAGAGACACAGATAGAGAATGGACAGGTGGACAAGCAGGTGGGGGGGGGGGTCTGAATTGAGAGAGTAGCATTTTCACATTTACACTATCACATGTACAGTAGATAGGGAAGCTGCTATATAACACAGGAAGCTCAACTGGGTTCTCTACGAGGACCTTCGAGGGGCGGGAGAGGGCGGAGCGGGAGGGAGGTCCAAGAGAGAGGGGATACATGTCTACTTACGGCTGACTCACTTATCAAACAGCAGAAACTAACAGCACTGGAAAACAATTGTATTCAAATTAAAAAAGAAGGCCACAAGTGAATCAGCCAACCTCCCCTCTCCCAAAAAGTATAGTGTGCCCTCCATACCAGGCCTTTTTCTTCTAACATGAAGTATTTAGCCTTGTCAACCATACCCTCCAGGAAAACCCTCAGGAAATCGGAGTTTGTCTCTATTATACTTTCCTCCACT